GCCTCCTATTAAGAATAGAACTTTGACAGTGTGGTAAAGCATATAATTTGACAATGATGACAATTTAAGCTCAGTTTAACTAATTCATAAGCATATCAAATTAAATTGATTATGTCAAAATAAGTCAACCCTGACATGAAATAACCAGAAAGCGTTCGATACAATGAGACTAGGGAAACAGCCAGTCATTCACTGGTCAACAAACTAATTTCACTCATGAGTTATCTATCCTCTTTCTAGGATAAATTAGGAATCCTATTTCGTCTTTTAACCCACCCCTTTGGTAAAATAAACGAAGCAAAAAATCACGGGATGTTTTAGGAGGAATAAACATTAGTCTTATCATTTAAATCCCTTATTCTACCATCATTCTGAAGAGGTTTTCAAAAAGCTACTGGTTGTGCCACATATCGGTATCGTCCTTCAGGAGCCTAAGGCATGTGTGTCCGGTTCTCCCGGAAACCAGTACCCAGTCAATGGGTGTACCATTATGTGAATACGCATTGAAAAACTGGAGTTGTGCATACAAAAGAAACCAGTTCAGCCTATACAACTACCATTGACGGACTTAGATTCAGCATGTTCCCTTTGCCTTCGGGTTTTTGTTTTGTTCGCTGTGTGTTTGACTCTTCTGTCTTTGTCTCCATTCGATTCATCTTGTTTCTTTTCACGTATAAGAACAGTTATTTTAAGTTCGTTTCCATGCTCATCCTGCTCACAATTGTAATTCGTTTTGAATAACTATTTTACAGTTATATTCTAATCCTGTATAATTTTTCTTTCAAAGCCTTTCGTAATCCATATCAAGTTGAAAATACTAGTCACTTTTTATTTGCCTTAGTAATTATGTAGAGTTTAACAATAACAATTAAATCCTTCCAAATGTCAGGCGCTTGAATTTACTTTGAAGCATCCATGTGACTTACTTGAACTTGCTAGCTCGCATGATCCCTGTAGCATAGATGGCATGGAAATTGAAACCAAATCAAGCATTAAATACTTTGGATTAGTTTTTTCCTCTGACCTTTCATGGTCATCCCATATCTTATCTATCTCTAAGAAAATGTTTCGTCTTACCTTCTACATTAAATAGTTAAGACAATCAGGTATCAACCAACCTTTAGTTTTGCAATTTTTAAACTCCTGTATTTTACCTATTGTACTCTATTGCTCTCCATTAATCTTTCCTGGGCTGCTCAAAAAAGATTATATCATATTACGAAGAGTATTAAATGATGTGAGTAGAGCTTGTGGTCTGCCACTGCGTGAGCTCGCTAATACTATAGTCGAGAGGCATATAAATTCCTGTACGAAATGGGCAAAGGCTATACTGTCAGACCCTCTGCACCCCTTTATTCATACATGTCCCCTTGTATCTCATCAGGTAGGACGAGAAGTCAATATAAAAAGTTATATGCTCGTACCACTAAGTACAGAAATTCTACAATACCCTATTTAGCCCGTACCTTATGTGACGAAGACTCTGTTAGACGTGAAACTTATAAGTTACTATGTAATTAGCACAGTGAATCGACTCTTTCATCGTTCATCTTTCTGTATTTTATGGTGTCACACTTTCTATCGTTTAATTGTTACTCTGCTATTTTATTTTTAGTTGGTATTACTATTATTACTACAATTTTGTACTTTATACATATTTTTCACCGTATGGCATATAGTATTTTGCTATGTAACTGCTATAACAATCGTTTTATTACTATTATGTAATGTGTATTTTTAATTTTTGTTGTTGTCGTTTTTGAGTAAATTAGATGCAATATTGTAGTGAATGCTGAAAATTCCTTGCTGTATCATGAGTACTGTTTTTGGAATGAAGCTATTATAATTATTATTAAAAAAACTATGTAAACTTAGGTCTTTAAATGCGATTGCACAACTTTTGAAAATGAAATCGCCGAAAAGATATCTTTGTTCTTTTCCCTATAATGTCCCGATGGGCATTTCCCATGATTTAAAAAAGTGAAAATGACAAGCTTGTACAGTTGGTTGCCAATTGGATAAGGAGAAAATCAGGTTGGATCCCTTGCCACAGATCTCCTACACATCTGTGACTCAGACGCTCTGGAAGACGAACAAGGCCTTTTGAGAGAAATCTTCATCCAGAATAGACACTCACCAGGTTTTTTTGATAGGAGCATCAAGCAAAAAAGAAGGAACTAATCAATAAAGAAGTTCGTTATCTTTGGAAAGAGTATTCCCCTCAGCAAAACAAACAATACCGTTGTCTAGTTTTCCACTGATCTGAAGAAGCCTGAAGGACAAGTTCTCATATCTGACCACTTTCATGCGCATACACCAACTAGTTCACTTATTCTTGTGGAGAGTTTCATGTATAAAAGGGTTATATGAAGGCAGCAGTGGCACTACACGAAGTGTGATAATTAAACACCTGATCAATACTGGGCATATCATAACAACAAACTCATCCTTCAAAGGAAGAACAACCTTCCAAAGGTAATTCACATTCGTCTAAACTGCATCCCTTGTAATGGGGAGGGTGTTTGAAAATTCTCTCCTCGGAGATCTAACCACAATAATTACACTAATGTGGACGTTCAAACTAACTTTGTAATTATTATCGGGTCTCCTCCTAGACTGCTTATTACATGTTGATTCGATCCTTATTATTTGTTATCGTCCCTGTTTAACCTGTTATTTTAGTGCTTATCTTTGTGGTTGCGTGAACATTGATAGTCTACTGTAAAGTGTGGGTTTGTCTGAATAGATCTAGATTATTTTGACATGGGCTATTTGTGAGAAGCATTGATTTGCGATTCTTGTGAACAGAGCTTCTGATCCGTTTATGTTGAGAATGCACAACTTGATTCTAAGGTACTTCTTATGGTACTTTTTGTGCGTCGGTGGCACAGTGGTTAGAACTCTCGCCACCATGCACATGGTCCGAGGTTCGATCCGCTGCCGACGCACACCTGATATCTATGGTCGGCCTGGGAAATTCGGGCTACCGGTATCCATGCTGAAAATTCCATACTTGTACCAAAAATACAGTGTGGAATCAAGCTGTATGTCAAAAATATAAAAAAATAAAAAAATATTAAGGTTGACATTTGGCTAACTAATTGTATTCCACAGTACTTACTGTATACTTTAAAACTTATCTGATATGTATATCTGCCTAAGGACATTGGTAAGGCATTTGATTTGCTGCCTTTGAGGCGTTCCGTGACTACACATTTCTCAAGGAAGTTTTGTATGACTTAGTGATCGGCTCTCTGCGTTTAGACAACAGTAAGTCGATTTTGCTCGCTCTAGTCATTCAGATAGGAATTGGAGCTCTGTATGCAGAGGAGAATTATTCAACCACTTTTACAATCATGCGAACTATCCTGTTATTTTCTGTCACCTTGGTTTTATTTGTTTTTTTTAAACTTTTGCATATCTTAAATAGTTTCACGTGTTTTTTTATTTCTATGTGCAACCTTGATTACAACTCATTCATGAAATTATCTATCGTGTCACGTTCCTCGAACACACTTACTCAACTCCTTATATATATATATATATATATTACTGTTAACAACTGTAATTATGAGAACCCATCCCAACAACTCATCATTACCAGCACGTCACCATCAACGGGAGATATTCAACAGAGCTTTCCTTCATTAATTTTCTGGCAAACATCGTTTCAGCTACAGACGGAACAGACGAAGATATCGAAGTAAGAATCTGAAAGTCGAGATACACCTTCATTAAACCTGAAACCAACTTAGAAATCTTCCGCGCTCACTCAACATAAGGAACAATATTCTCATTTTCAAAACCGAAACCGTTCTTCTATACGGGTCAAACACTTGGCCAGCGTGTTACGAAAAGGATTTCCAACAGTTTGTTGCAGACTTTTATCAACAGATGCCTTCACTGGCTCCATACTGAGGATTAAATGACCAGAAAGAATAAGCAGCAAGAAGCTATGGCAACAAACCAAAAAGCGAGAACCGATCGCTCAACAAATATGGAGGAGAATATGGAGATTTATTGGGCATACATTGAGGAGGCCACTGCATGACATCACATGCCAGGTGGTGCCTCAGGTGGAATCCCATTGAGAAGCAACGAGTGGGTTGTCAACATGGGGGTGACATGTAGAAGATCGTATGAAGTTGAGGAGATGAGAGATTACGGGCAATCGTGGATTCAGCTGAAGAGGATGGCAGAGTAAAGCAGGAAGTGGTGATGTGTTTTTGAAGCCATATGTCCTACTTGGAACCCAAAGGAATAATAATAGTACCACTTCTGTAACTATCCATTTTGATGAAACAGTTACATGTGGATCCGACTAAGCTCCATGAGAAAACAGTTCCTCTGATGAACAGCTTATCTTAGTGTTTTCATAAACAGAAACATCCAGCATTGCACCTCCACTTTTTTGTGTTCTAAGTGGAACAATGTACTTCAAGTTTTAATGTTGCCTTTACAAAGTAGGTTGACTAGTCTGCGGCTGCAACTTCTCTATTTGTCAGGATTACTGTTGGCTAATGAAGAATTAGGTGAGGTTTTGGAAGTGCATCGACGGAAAATTAAATCTGCACCATTTGTGTGACTGAGAAGCATTCAGTCTTGAACCTCTTATACGGAATTATTATTATTATCGTTCACTTATTATTCGCATGCGTTCCAGGTGGAACATAGGACTTTAGTGGTCAGTCTACATTCTATCCTTTTATCTGCCCTTCTCTTCAGCCAGTCGCACGACCGCATACAAACTCTCGTTTTCTCCTCATCCAACTTCCTCCATATCATCTTTGGACTCCCAACTCTTTGTTTCTTATTCAGGTTACACTTGAGAACCTGGCACGATACATCACTCAGCGGGTTTCCCAGTGTATGTCTAACCTTTATCTGCTTTCTTCTGCGTAATACGTTGCAAAATTTAGATTAAGAATGAAAACGTTTGTAAACAAGAATCAAATAACACCTGACATTTTATTATTACTACTTAACGTCAAAAGGCTTACGTGGATGATGTAATTTTAATATTTGGATACAATGACATGTCGATTGGCTTATTATCTTTAAACCATTTAATTTGTGGATTTGTTTCACCTTGAACTTTACACTTGAGAGTTAACCGACGACCTTCGTGAATCTCCATAACAGCATGAGTTGTTTGAGTGTTGTTGTTGTTTGTTTGTTTTTGTTTTATTCTGACATTTACAGGTTGAATTATAATCCAATTAGGGTTATTTGCTATTCACAACTGGATTTTGTGATATTTCTGAATAATAATAATAAGAAGAAGAGAAATGTGGATATGGGTTACTCTGGAATGCCTTTTAGGCGTAATTATGCATTACATAACAGCATAGAAGGAAAACTTCTACCATATAAACCTCAAGATGTAACACCTCAGGGTTTAAAAAAACTACAAAATCTAAAACCACGCGTTCTAGCAGACAATATAGTCAGTTTGTTAGGTCTAAATTGTTTAACAGAGAGATAATAAGTGGACGAACGTCTTTTAAGTGAATATTTTTGGCCGTATAGCTCGAATATCCATCGCCTCAGCCATGTACAGTAATTAAATACGAATTCCACTGGAAGGATTCTGTGGGACGCAACTAATTCCCTTGAATGATTTAACTTTTCAACTAAATGATAACTGTTTCAACCTGATATCAACTGATATCACTCAGTGATCAACTTGTGAAAACAAATATAATCCTTACAAACCAAACTCATGAAAATTAACCTGATGTTCGCTAGTGACTTGCTACAGGATGAAGTTTCCTGGAGTTCTTGTGAGAAGTCGTAATCACTGAGGTCCACTTAGGTATCACGTGTGTGGATGGATGTTCCACCAACGACAGTGGTTGGGGTGGCGCGAAATCACGAATTGGTAGAAGCTAGAATTCATGGGCTGGGCAATGAATCGGGTTCCGGTGGTTGAATGGTATACGAGCCAGCTCGCCTTGTAACCAGAAGGTCCTGGTTTCGAATTCTGGCGGTGGGTGCGTACTGCCAATGATTCCCAAACCAGGGGATGAAACAGCTGTCCAGTACTGCCAACTGATTTTCAATGGTTCTCTAACTGATATCAATCCGTGAATAACCCGTAACAGCAAATGTAATCCTTACAAATCAGCTATTATAAACAGATGACAACTATCAACTGAAAATATAACAAAACGGACCTTCGGGTAGTTTTTGACTATCCTTTACCAAACAACAATGGAAAAGGCTCGGTAACATGGTGGCTAAGCTGTCTAGTTGTACGTCCAACATAATCGTCTCCTGAGGGGTAGCTGAATTTATAAATACACACAGATGTTACCCGTATACTTCTGGAAAGTTTCGTGGAACAAATTCTCACTAGACAAGCCCGCACTAAACTGTAAATTGATAGATAATGGTTTCCTCTGAAGTGTCTTCATCTCAGGTTTTCCATTTGATGTTTCATACATTCCTTTATGAAAATACTCAGATAACCCATCTCCATCAAGGAATCGCGAATATATTCAAATTCTTTATGTAAAGAATATTCCATACATGTCATTTTCCTGCACATAACTAAAGAAGCGTGCGTTTGGCCATGTGAATGTGCTTTTTCTATAGACGCTTCTCCAAAGTGATCCATCTTCCATCCAGAAAACACAGTGTATTATCTTTCTCCCGTTCACAACTGGAAGCTGTAGGAGGGTGGATGTTGTTAAATTTCTGTCGAGAAAAAAAATCGCCATTTAGAGATTTCGAAATCAAAAGAACTTAGCTAAGAAATATTTCCTTTTCAATTAGATCCTCATTACTCCCTGACTCTACTCTAATATATAACACATAGCAATTTACCAATTAACTGACGATATATTTGTTAACAATAATTAGTCAGTATCATCATGTTAAGGGGGTGATAATTTACGAAGAAAATTAACACACACACACACACAATTAAGGCATAGAAATGGTTACAACAAGGGAACTGCACAACGATTTGGACAAGAATTACTTGTGATTAATAATGAAGTAGTCGGAAAAATAATAAAATAATTTGGAAAATTGAAAATTTTCAAGTTTTAAGATGAGAGAGGTGGTTGAAGCAGGCCAGTTTATGAATTCATATAAAGATAGCCAAGGTAAGGAAAGGGGTTGTACAAATGACATCTGAACACACAAAGTTGGCTGCTTCAGGTGGATTCCTATGCTTTCAGCTGTATGTAGAAGATGAATTTGTAAAGCAAAATTAAGATTAGACAGAATACGATAAATAATTTTAAACGCTGTATTAACATCAACTTTATGCTTAGGATATACAAGGTGTGCTGAAACGCAGCTACGAGTGGATCTTGTTTGTCCCTTGCTTAGCCATGCTGGATGATGTTTGGAAATACGATTATGAACTTGTCTAACTGCACGCCCTATGTAGCTGGCTCTGCAGATGCAGTCAAACTGGTAGATAGACATAGAGGAGAAGGCAAATTTAGGTAGTTTATCCTTATTTCTCGAAAGTAGAATAGGGGTAGTAGTGAAGAGGCAACGTATCTCTGCTTCATTGAAAGCCTTTTTTTAACTGCATTCTTCAGCAGCTTTGTTACTTTTTCACTGATGTTGTCTCTGATAATATTTATTAAATTTCATAAACAATTAAATTATATCTACATTCTCATCAGCTTAGATAAAGGTCTCAAAGGCATAACAGTAGTGTATATCACACCCATTGATGATATTTTTCTACCTTTCACTGTCAAGTTGTACAAGAAAGAATTTTGCTAAAATCAGACCTCGGTGAGAACTTCATCAGTTACTGTGGAATGCAGGTGAATCCAGATGACGACCCCCCAATAGGACAAAATAAGCGTTGTCCTGGATTCCACCGCTAGTTACCATCCGCTAAATTAACCCCTAATTACATGGGCAGATATCGTCGAAGCATCTGGACAAGGAGCAGCCGACATGTCAAAATGAGACCAAGCACTTCGGTCCAATCAATCGATGGGAAATCTAAAATTCAATTTCAAAATTTGATGTGGTTTTGTTCCCTGAGCTGGATGGTTAATTTGCGAAAAGAAGATAAAACCAACATCATCTACAAAATAAACTGTAACAACTGCGAAAAACACTACATTGGCCAAAGTGGACGTCCCCTTCGTCTTCGTACCCACGAACATAAGCTAGCTGTTAAAAGACATGATATCCACTCCCTCATATCACTACACACAGACAACCACGGACATCAATTCGACTGAGACAACGTTCAAATATTAGACAGAGGAAACAACAAGAATGCTAGAGAATTTTTAGAAGCTTGGCATTCCAGTGAATCATCAATCAATTGACACATCGAGATAGACAAAAGTTATCAACCAATAAGAAAGAAACTTCATACACAAAGGGTCAAAGTTCAAGTCAAAGAAACAACCGGTTCCAATACAAGTAACCTAGAAGGTGTGAAAACACACACAAACAACCAATCACGTCCAAGGTCACCAGGAGAGATGATTAGTAAACTCGTGGAGAAATCTAAAAGCTCACTTCAAATTGAAGTATGCGCTGAAGGAAGATGTCACCCAGTAGGGTGATGAAAGCTTCGCAAATTAACCATCCAGCTCAGAGAACAAAAACCACATCAAAATCATCCACCTGAGCTACAAATCTTCTCTATCATATCTTAATTTAAAAAATGCACATCCATTATATATTCAAGGAATAGTTCTTTGAGCTTAGACAGGGGAATGCTTAAGTTCAATTGGTTCTCGGTGATTTATTGCATTTCTTGAATATGTAGTGCTTCGCTTTAACATATGGTACATTTGCACATAGTAACAGAGTTTTTTTCATGGGTACGTTTTTTCATAATATTAGTCTCATAAATTTTAGACATAAGTTAGAAGACATCACTAATTGTGTATCTGACAATTTCTTTGTACAATGATGTTGAAGAATTTCAACTGACTACTTTATCATTGCATGATGTGGTAAGTTATGCATATATATGCATATATATATGTTGGGTTATATATTTTTGGAACAACTTGTGCATAGCAGCAGAAAAACTCAAACCCAGATGGCTTGATAAATAACAGAACTACATAGCCTCAATAAACACAAGAGGAGAACTCCCAACCTCTTCTGTAACAAAATACATCGTTGATATGAATCATACAATTTATATTGCGACAGCTCTGAAGATTCAGTTGGTGGATGGCAAATAGCATTGGAATTCAGGATGCGCACTTCATCCTATTTGGAAGTTGTCGACTGGATTCCACTGCAAGTCACCACCCACCTGCTGGCCTCAGGTTATATGACCAGACGTCGTCGAAGCGTCTGCGCCTGGGTTAACATGTCAACCTGAGACAGAACACATCGGTTCAATTTATCGAAGGGGAAATCTAAACGGAATTAAACAGGCTTTAACTATTATCTATAAAAGTCATGAAAGGCTCATACTGAAATATACTCAGGCATTAGTCTCCTCCCCTCTAGTTTGTGTGTACAAAAACAGTTTATTGCTAATCGCTATTTGATTAATTATTATACTTCATATTCTTAAATGTGCATCGGTGGCACAATGTTAGAATGCTCGCAGACTACTCATGTGATCTGGGATTCGATCCTCGGCCGGGCGCATTCCTATACGTCGCTAAACCAGTAATAAGGCTTGTAAAGAGGGAAGGTTGAGTATGAGGCAAATAACCCCATCGCGTAAAAGTAAACCCCACTGCTAATGAAACCACTAGCTTGAAGCTCTATGTTCCACTGAGAACGTAAAGGAATAAGAACATAATTCTTACATCCCATATTATTTTGTTCATTTTAATTGGCTATCCATTTGCTTCGTTTTTCATACAAAATTGAATCGACAAGTAAATTTTAGTGTGATCAGATTATTTGAAATCTATCACACGAAAATACATTACATCTGTTTCCAGATTGACTCCGACTTATAACAACGTTATTCAAATTATAATTCATTTCTTGTTGTCTGTTCTAAATCTTGTATTCCAAAATATAAAGTTGAATAATTCAAAATAATAATGTCAAATGCAAATAGTGAGATATAGTTCAATAGTAAAAGCAACCTAAAATGAGTCTTTTTTACATCTTGACATCAGTATGCATAGTGAGACAATATTAGATTGTTGGAGGTTGCTGGCGTGAAGCCTTCCACCTAAGTTTTGTGCTAGTTGGTAGTCACTAGTGAACAAAGCCAATCTACATTCACGAAGGAATTCATGTCCCCGTTTAAGTTTCAAACCCGCTTCACTCAGTGTTGCAGTCAGA